ATGTATGAACTTTATTGCGAGGTAGTAACAGCTGGTTACCAGCTGTTCTCCGTTTGAAGAGGTTTACTCTCCGGCTCTGGTACTCACTTCAGCATGTATGTTACCTGAAGTCAAATTTAATTTAATACTGAACATCACAGTTCTTTTTCCACAAGATGTACAATTTTTTACAACTAGATTTAATTTAAAGGGTTTTTACCCAGGTATTTTGGTGGCTCAGGCATTATAACCTTGTAATTTTAAAAATTTTAAACCTGATGATGGACTGTTTAGTCCGAAAACGTTTGTTTTTCTTGATGTAGCCCTTTTAAGGATTTTTAAATAAATATACCCATTTACGAAGACTAGCCTCTTTTTTTAATAATTATTTGTTAAAAAAACATTCATTTGTCAATATTTTGTCAGTAAAATACTTAATGCTGTTTTGGTTTTAATTCCCAATCCAGTTTAATCACTTTCAATGGTAAATACACAAAAATATAGATATAGAAAAGTCGCGGTCAATAGGTCTTAAGTCAGTAAATAGTAAGATCTATATGTCTTAAGTGCATCTAAAATATTAAAAATCTACGAAAATCATCTTCTTGCTATAATTATCACTTTATTATGGTACATTGAATGGTATTATTGTGCTAAATTGGTTAAAGGTAACATGTGCGATTTATAACAATTTTTGAAACATTCAAGTATTCCTCCTGTAAACTTTGATTTTATGACTTAAGCCCTTTTTCCCAAACATTAGAGAATTTATTTAACACCTTTATAAAAACTAAGTGTATTCTCGGCAAAACACAAAAGCTGCATACAAAAGTTTCACTCTTTGCCTTTAATCAAACGATATAGAATTTTTACTGTCGAGCTGATACAAAGTTTATTGAACTTTGATTGACATTCAAAATCGACGATCGCATCAAGCATTATTTGTAAGAGAACGGTTCATTCTACACAAAAAATTCTTATAAACATTTTTGTTTAAAATTATCTCAGCTTAATTTTTATTTAAAAATTTTTTTCTACTGTGTAGAGATTCTTGGTAAATCGATTTTTTTGCATTCTTAAAGTGGTAAAGTATAGTAATAAACTATTTTGCATCATTTCTGGGGTCCCAAAATTATTATTTTGGACTAAGGATTATTTTTCTGAATCGTATATTAGATTTTTTTTTTTCATTTTACATCTAATCAGTTCTTCTTTCATTGTCTCTAGTGTGATTCGTTTATTTTATAATTGTAGATGTCACTTATGTTATATATTATAAATATATATATATATTATATATATATATATATATATATATATATATATATATATATATATATAGCAAAACTGGTAGGATTATCGACCGAAACGTAAATAACAATTTATTGTTTTGGAGTATCAGGTATGCGGTCTGTTATTAAAAAAAAAACTCTTTTTTCTTTTATGACTCTATATTTCGCTGATTTTTGTCAGCTTCTTCAGGAGATAACTAAAATATGGTTAAAATTTTATATACATAACAGGTGATAATAAACAATGAATTTACTTACAGATTAAGAGTTAAAATATTTACATTTCGGATACATTTTCATTTGTTAATGATGTCAGAGAGTTGATTTTACCGAAAGATTATATTCTAATTTCGTGAGATGTCATATCGTTATTTACTAACATACCAATAGATCTGGTCTGTAATGTAATACAGTCGAAATGGAATCTTATCCAAAACTATTCAACCATTTCTAAGGATAGTTTTTTAACACTTCTGAATTATGTTTTTGAGAACACCTATTTTAGTTTTAATGATAAATTCTATCGACAAATATTTGGAGCACCTATGGGTAGTCCACTCAGTCCCATAATAGCAACCATTATTTTGGACCATTTGCTGGATGTCATTATTCCACAATTACCTTTCCCTTTACCCTTCATTAAAAAATTTGTAGACGATCTTATATGTTCAGTTCCTAGTTCACAAATTCAAAACACTTTGAAAATGTTCAATAACTTTAACAAACATATTCAATTTACGTTAGAGATTGAAAATGATTGTTCGATATCATTTTTGGACATCAAATTAATAAGAACTGAACAAAACAAAATATTGATAGATTGGTATCAAAAGCCAACACACTCTGGAAGATATTTAAACTTTTTCTCAAATCATCCTATTCATCAAAAGTTTAATACAGTGATTGCAATGAAGAATAGGGTAAGGCATATTAGTGATGAAAAATTCATAAACAGAAACCTAAATTTGCTTTTAAAACATTTTTGAAAATAATGGATACCCAAAACATATCCTTAAAAAATTAATATTTAACTCAGACATTTTTGACGGTCCCACTGATATCGGAGCAGTACAAACAATCCAATATAAAAAATTACCATTAATAAAACAGTTAACACCTTCTGTGACTAGTTTATTTAAACAATTTACTAACATCAAAATTGTCCAATATAAATGTATTAGAAAACCGACAACTGTTTTCTAAAGTAAAAGACAAGACACCAACTGTAAATAAAACTAATGTCATCTATAAACTGCCTTGTTTGGATTGTCAGAGCTGTTATGTTGGCCAAACTTCTCAATGGCTAAAACAACGGGTCACACAACACAAAAGTGACTGCACAAAAAAGAAGAATACATGTGTGGCAGTTGACCATTACCTAAAAACTGGGCATCAATTTGAATACTCAAATGTCAGGGTTCTACAACAAGAGAACAATTACAAAAAAAGATTGTTTTTAGAAATGTGTCACATTAATAAAGAAAAATATGCAGTTAATTATAAGGCAGATACGGGACAGTTGAGCAATATCTACTGTAATATTCTTAGTATGTTCAAATAATTTTTCTTTTTAAAATTATATTTAAATCACCCTGTATATTTTTAATGTGTAATTTTATTATGTTTTTATTGTTTCTTGGTTGTTTTTGTTTTGTATTTATTATATTTTTTTTGTTATATTTAATTACTAGTGACTAGATGCTTTTGAATAATTCTGTCAGTACTGTTTTGAATATATTATGTTCAAGATTTTTAAATATTTTAACTCTTAATCTGTAAGTAAATTCATTGTTTATTATCACCTGTTATGTATATAAAATTTTAAACCATATTTTAGTTATCTCCTGAAGAAGCTGACAAAAATCAGCGAAAATATAGAGTCATAAAAGAAAAAAGAGTTTTTTTTTTTAATAACAGACCGCATACCTGATACTCCAAAACAATAAAATATAATATATATATATATATATATTATATATATTATATATATATATATATATATATATATATATATATATATATATATATATATATATATATATATATATATATATATATATATATAGAAGTACTTGTGACTCGTTTGAAAAAAATATAAAACTGTTTTGGATGGGTTGGAGTCAATAAAAGGAGCTATTTCTTGACTTTTTTTGTTCGAGCTTTCAATTGTGTTTACAATTACTATCAAGAGCTTCTAAAAAATACAAAATATCTTACAAAGTTGAACTAGAAATAAAAAATTTTTTGTTAACTCACCAAATAGAATTAGTTTTTTTTATATAAAACTGCTGCTAACATATTATTACAAAAAATATTATTATTATTATTATTATACAAAAAATATTATAATGTGATAAAGTTTCTTAACAAAAACAATTGAATTTGTAAACAAAAATTGAATAGCTACAAGTCAGCCTCAATGTCATAAATACCAACTTAAAAATTTTTATTTTTGACATATTGTCAAAAATAAACTTTTGTTTAAAAAATTCTTTTTTGTTTAGTAACAAAAAAAGAAGATTTATTCACCATTGATAGATGCCTGAAAAAATGTAACAAATACATGGAAAATTCAAAATGTGATATTTTACTGATTGCATATATAAATTACATAGAAATAATATAATTATAAATTTTGCTTAGATTTTGAATTTCTGACCTTTTGGTTAAATTATTATCACTTTTGCTAATACAAACCATTTCCAAAAAAGTTCTTTTAAATTTATTACTTTCACTACATAAAATTTTAATATTATCAAAATCCATAATATGGTCTTTGTCTATTACATGCTCTGCCAAAGCACAAGATGGTTTCTTAATTCTGCAATCACTTTTGTGAGAAATAATGCGATTTGAGAGATTTCTTCCAGTCTCACCAACATAATCAGCTTCACACTGAGTACAACTAATGCTGTATACTACATTTGTTTTATCTAATTTGTCTATATAATTTATATATGAAATCAGTAAAATATCACATTTTTATTTAATTTTCCATGTATTTATTATATTTTTTCAGGCATCTATCAATGGTGAATAAATTTTTTATTTTTTGTTACTAAACAAAAAAAAAAACAATATAATTGACAATATAATTGTTAAAGATAAAAATTTTTAAGTCGGTATTTATGACATTGAGGCTTAACTGTAACTATTCAATTTTATTTACAAATTCAATTGTTTTGTATTAATTTTTTTTGTAATATGTTAGCAGCAGTTTTATATACAAAACTAATTTTATTTGGTGAGTTAACAAAAATTTTTTATTGTTCAACTTTGTAAGATATTTTGTATTTTTTAGCAGCTCTTGACAATAATTGTAAACACAATTGAAAGTTCGAGTAAAAAATAGTAAACAAATAGCCCCTTTTATTGACTCCAACCTATCCAAAACAGTTTTATATTTTTTCTAAACGAGTCACAAGTACTTCTTTTTTCTTACTCTTATATTATATATATATATATATATATATATATATATATATATATATATATATATATGCATTTAATATTAATATGTAGTTTCCTTATGTTTACAAGATAGTTCTTTTTGGTAATTTTAGGAAAATTATTAGTTTAACTAAAAGAAAAGTCAAAAAAAATTATAATTTTATTTAAATAAACAAATAGATTGCGTACTAAAAAGTATTTCGAAAAAGAATAGGATCGACTAGTCATTTTTAAATTGTCTGTGACTAGAGCTTACACAAGATGTTATTTCATTTGCTACTATTGTGCGTGTTTTTCTACTTTCCATGTGTACGAATGTGAAGAGCTGCTTGTGATTACAGGTTGTACTGTCTGTCTTTCAATCTTCCACTTGTAAGAAATAGCGGGAATTTTTCTTTCGACTGTCCATCTATACAAAAATTTGGAGTCAGCTTGCTGTTCTTGGATAACCCATGCTTCCAAATATGCAACATCTACCTTTAGCGATTCGTGCCATTTATTGATGTATTTCTCTACAAGACTTACATCAATGCCGTTTCTTTCTTGTTGTTCAGTTATCCATTTTTGCCAAACCTGAGGGGAAACTTTCTCAACGCTTTTATCATTGATCCAAACGTGAAGAGTGCCGGAACTTTGTGGTTGTTGCGAAACCACACTTTCAACCTTCCATTGGTATGAAACACTTGGAACTTGTTTTTTTAACTACCCAGTTGTACAAGAAGTTAGCATTTGTCTTTTGTTGTTGGATGATCCACCCTTCCAAGAATCCAACTTCCAAATTCAATTGTTGGTGTTGTTGATTTATCCATTTCTCTACAACGTTAATATCAATGTTGTATTTCTCTTTTTGTTCAATTATCCATTTCTGCCAAACAGCTGGTGCTACGCTTTCAACAATTTGTCCGTTAATCCATAGACGGGAAACTTCAGGTTCTTCAACTTGTGAATCTTTACGTTGGACAAACCATTGGGATGAAATTTTAGGAACCTCTTTCTTGATTATCCAGTTGTATAAAAAGCTAGGATTCAATCTTTGTTGTTGGATGATCCATCCCTCCAAGTCTCCTACGTCTTGTTTTAATACCTGGTGTTGCTGGTAAATCCAGTTTTCGATAACACTTAAATCAACGCTGTTTTGTTGTTTATGCTGGATTACCCATTGTTGCCAAGCTTCTGGGGTTACTTTTTCGACTTTTACATTAAATGTTGGTTCTACTACTGGTCCTTTGCCATTTAATATATTGGGAACTTGTTTCCTAATTATCCAGTTGTACAAAAAGCTTGGATTTGAGTTCTGTTGCTGAATGATCCATCCCTCTATCAGACCTTGGTCTAGTTTTAGTACTTCATGTTGTTCATTGATCCAATTTTCAATGACAGTTATATCAATATTGTTCTTTTGTTTCTGTTGAATCAACCATTTTTGCCAATCTTCTGGTTGTACTTTCTTAATGTTCAATATATTTCTCCATGGACCAGCAAAGCCGGGATCAATTTCTGTATTGCCGGTTGGTAGGTCTAACTTATTGCCGTTGCCATTAAGAAGAACTGAATTATCTTTATTCTTTGATATAGGAAGTTCAATTACTACAGAAGAATCTCTGTCTCTGGATGTTGCATGGTTTAAAACATTGTCAACAACTTCAACAGTCTTGTCAGCACTATTTTTAACGTTGTTTAAAACGTTTTTACCAATACCTAGAATCACAGAAGCATCTCTATCTCTGGATGTTGGGCGATCAAGAACAACGGAAGAATCTCTGTCCCTGGATGTTGGTAGGTCAAAAGTTGGACGGTCAACAACAGGTCTGTCATTACCTCCAAGAACAACAGTTGCGTCTCTATCTCTGGATGTTGGAAGATCAAATGTTGGGCGGTCAAGAACAGGTCTGTCATTACCTCCAAGAACAACGGTTGCGTCTCTATCTCTGGATGTTGGTCGATCAAGCACAGGTCTGTCATTACCTCCAAGAACAACAGTTGCGTCTCTGTCTCTGGATGTTGGTAGGTCAAAAGTTAGACGATCAACAACAGGTCTGCCATTACCTCCAATAACAACAGTTGCATCTCTGTCTCTGGATGTTGGACGATCAAGAACAGGTCTGTCATTACCTCCAAGGACGACAGTTGCGTCTCTGTCCCTGGATGTTGGACGGTCTAGAACAAGGTTGCCATTACCTCCAAGAACAACAGTTGCGTCTCTATCTCTGGATGTTGGAAGATCAAATGTTGGGCGGTCAACAACAGGTCTGTCATTACCTCCAAGAACAACAGTTGCGTCTCTATCTCTGGATGTTGGGCGATCAAGCACAGGTCTATCATTACCTCCAAGCACAACAGTTGCGTCTCTGTCCCTGGATGTTGGTCGGTCTAGAACAAGGTTTCCATTACCTCCAAGAACAACAGTTGCGTCTCTATCTCTGGATGTTGGAAGATCAAATGTTGGGCGATCAACAACAGGTCTGTCATTACCTCCAAGAACAACACTTGCATCTCTGTCTCTGGATGTTGGACGGTCTAGAACAAGGTTACCATTACCTCCAAGAACAACAGTTGCGTCTCTGTCTCTGGATGTTGGGCGATCAAGTACAGGTCTGTCATTACCTCCAAGAACAACAGTTGCGTCTCTGTCTCTGGATGTTGGACGATCTAAAAGAAGGTTGCCATTACCACCAAGAACAACAGTTGCGTCTCTGTCTCTGGATGTTGGAAGGTCAAATGTTGGGCGATCAACAACAGGTCTGTCATTACCTCCAAGAACAACAGTTGCGTCTCTGTCTCTGGATGTTGGGCGATCAAGCACAGGTCTGTCATTACCTCCAAGAACAACAGTTGCGTCTCTGTCTCTGGATGTTGGGCGGTCTAGAACAAGGTTCCCATTACCTCCAAGAATAACAGTTGCGTCTCTATCTCTGGATGTTGGAAGATCAAATGTTGGGCGGTCAAGAACAGGTCTGTCATTACCTCCTAGAACAACAGTAGCATCTCTGTCTCTGGATGTTGGGCGATCAAGCACAGGTCTGTCATTACCTCCAAGAACAACAGTTGCGTCTCTGTCTCTGGATGTTGGACGATCTAAAAGAAGGTTGCCATTTCCACCAAGAACAACAGTTGCGTCTCTGTCTCTGGATGTTGGAAGGTCAAATGTTGGACGGTCAACAACAGGTCTGTCATTACCTCCAAGAACAACAGTTGCGTCTCTGTCTCTGGATGTTGGGCGATCAAGCACAGGTCTGTCATTACCTCCAAGAACAACAGTTGCGTCTCTGTCTCTGGATGTTGGTCGGTCTAGAACAAGGTTTCCATTACCTCCAAGAACAACAGTTGCGTCTCTATCTCTGGATGTAGGAAGATCAAATGTTGGGCGATCAACAACAGGTCTGTCATTACCTCCAAGAACAACACTTGCATCTCTGTCTCTGGATGTTGGACGGTCTAGAACAAGGTTGCCATTACCTCCAAGAACAACAGTTGCGTCTCTGTCTCTGGATGTTGGGCGATCAAGCACAGGTCTGTCATTACCTCCAAGAACAACAGTTGCGTCTCTGTCTCTGGATGTTGGACGATCTAAAAGAAGGTTGCCATTACCACCAAGAACAACAGTTGCGTCTCTGTCTCTGGATGTTGGAAGGTCAAATGTTGGGCGATCAACAACAGGTCTGTCATTACCTCCAAGAACAACAGTTGCATCTCTGTCTCTGGATGTTGGGCGATCAAGCACAGGTCTGTCATTACCTCCTAGAACAACAGTTGCATCTCTGTCTCTGGATGTTGGACGATCAAGCACAGGTCTGTCATTACCTCCAAGAACAACAGTTGCGTCTCTGTCTCTGGATGTTGGACGGTCTAGAACAAGGTTTCCATTACCTCCAAGAACAACAGTTGCGTCTCTATCTCTGGATGTAGGAAGATCAAAGGTTGGGCGGTCAAGAACAGGTCTGTCATTACCTCCAAGAACAACAGTTGCGTCTCTATCTCTGGATGTTGGTCGGTCTAGAACAAGGTTTCCATTACCTCCAAGAACAACAGTTGCGTCTCTATCTCTGGATGTAGGAAGATCAAATGTTGGGCGATCAACAACAGGTCTGTCATTACCTCCAAGAACAATAGTTGCGTCTCTGTCTCTGGATGTTGGACGATCTAAAAGAAGGTTGCCATTACCACCAAGAACAACAGTTGCGTCTCTGTCTCTGGATGTTGGAAGGTCAAATGTTGGACGGTCAACAACAGGTCTGTCATTACCTCCAAGAACAACAGTTGCGTCTCTGTCTCTGGATGTTGGGCGATCAAGCACAGGTCTGTCATTACCTCCAAGAACAACAGTTGCGTCTCTGTCTCTGGATGTTGGGCGATCAAGCACAGGTCTGTCATTACCTCCAAGAACAACAGTTGCGTCTCTGTCTCTGGATGTTGGACGGTCTAGAACAAGGTTTCCATTACCTCCAAGAACAACAGTTGCATCTCTGTCTCTGGATGTTGGGCGATCAAGCACAGGTCTGTCATTACCTCCAATAACAACAGTTGCATCTCTGTCTCTGGATGTTGGACGGTCTAGAACAAGGTTGCCATTACCTCCAAGAACAACAGTCGCGTCCCTATCCCTGGATGTTGGGCGGTCAATAATAGGTCTGTCATTACCTCCAAGAACAACAGTTGCATCTCTGTCTCTGGATGTTGGACGATCTAAAAGAAGGTTGCCATTACCTCCAAGAACAACAGTTGCGTCTCTGTCTCTGGATGTTGGGAGATCAAAAGTTGGACGGTCAAGAATAGGTCTGTCATTACCTACAAGAACAACAGACGCGTCTCTGTCTCTGGATGTTGGATGATCTAGAACAAGATTACTGTTACCTCCAAGAACAACAGTTGAGTCCCTATCTCTGGATGTTGGTCGTCTTAAAACATCGTCAATCACTTGAACTGTCTTATCAGCACCATTCTTAACTTTATCTAGAATATTTTTACCAAAATCGAGGACTACAGATGAGTCTCTATCTCTGGATGTTGGGCGATCAAATACAAGTTTGCTTGAAAGATCAGGAACTTGTTTTTTGACTATCCAGTTGTATAAAAAGCTAGGATTTGACTGTTGTTGCTGCATAATCCATCCTCCAAAAAGTCAACATTCAGATTCAATGTTCTTTGCTGTTGGGAGATCCAGTTTTGGATAACTGTTAAATCAACGTTGTTCTTTTGCTTTTGCTGGATTAGCCATTGTTGCCAAACGTCTGGCGTTACTTTGTGCTCTGGTGGTGGTCTCAGTTTTCCATCCCAAGATCTCATGTCAGGAATATACATTTGCTGTCCTTCTTTTTGATTTGGTAACTTAACCCCATTTAAAGACCAATTTTGCCCGAAAATTGGCTGCCTTATGTTGCCTAAGATATTAGGAACTTGTTTATTAATTATCCAGTTATACAAAAAGTTGGGGTTAGAGTTTTGTTGTTGAATGATCCATCCCTCTATAATTCCAATATCTACCTTCAATACTTGATGTTGCTGATTAATCCAGTTTTCAATAATTGTTAAATCAATGTTTCTATTTTTTTGTTTTTGTTCAAGTAGCCATTCTTGCCAATGTAGAGGTGATACACTCTTAATATTCAATAGATTTCTCCATGGACCAGCGAAACCTGGATCTAGTTCTAAATTATTTCCCCTAGAACCGTCAAAACCAGGATCTATTTCTATAGTTGTGGTTGGTCTTCTTGACCATTCTTCAATATTAGGTAAATGGCGACCGGTAATATCAAAACCTATTGGTATACGAACTGATGCATCCCTATCTCTAGATGTAGCAATCAGACCTGAACCTCCATTAACAAGGAGTCCTCCTTGTTGTACTTTATTTCCACCGATGATCAACACACCATTGGAGCCACTGTTTCCGTTAAGAACAACCCCACCGTTTTGAGAATGTTGCAATACATTATCTTTTTCTGCACCATCGACGTAAATTTCTCCATTATCCAAGTATTTTCTGACCAAAACTGAATTGGAACCAATGTACTGACGTTGAAGGGTGTATTGACGACCGCGACTGTCTCTGTAAAAAAAAATTATATGAATAAAATAAAATAATATTAAAATGTTAATAACTATAACTATCTAAGTAACTTTATGGTGTGATCAGGACATAGCAATATCATAAAAGAAAATAAGTTACTGATTTTAAGTACTTTTTTAGATACACTTTTGCCTACGAGAGGAATGGAGACAAACGGGATATCCTATAACTACACAGTTAGAGCTGGTACACAAATGGGTCTAAATATATAAAAAGATTGGGGCGATTTATAGTGATAATGAAAATGTAAACATTTTTGTTCAATTAGGAGGATATAATTCTATATTACAAGTATGATATTTATACAATGCATTTTGCAGGGTAAATCAACATGAGGGTGTTTGATTATACTTGGTACCCATTAATTAGAACTGTACAGTGTAGTAAGATGTTTTAGAAATCTGGAGTGTGTATCATACAGTGTGTCCCTAAAGTATGAAATAAATTCGATATTTCCTAAATAAAAGGTCTGAAAAAAAAAATTAAAACACGTTGTACATTTTACAACAAAATGTTATTATAAAAAATGATAAATATTGAGATGATGACGTCATCGGCCCTTTTTTTAAATATAACACGCTATATTTTTTGAAATTTTTAGATAGATAAAAATAAGCTAATGCCAAAAAGTTTAATACTAGCGGTCTAACGGATATAATTTGAAAGATATGCGCTTAGAAAATAAATATTATCAATTGCAAAAAGTAGTCTACTACTAGTTTTTAGTGAATTTTAGTGAATAACAATTAAGTAGTACTATAATTGTATTAATTCGTGAATGTTCTGTATTATTGCTTAGAATTAATTTGAAGTAGAAATGAATTTAAGTATCAACCAAAGAATTGAAATACTCATGATCATTGGGTATGGAGACAAATTGCGAACTTAGATGGAAGTGTGTATATTATTTAATAATAAATATCCAGAAAGACCCATAAGAATACAATTTTGCAAAACAATAATGGATAACTGCCACGAAACCCTCGGCAAAGCCTTGGTTCAAAATATTATTTTTTCTGATGAGGCTATATTCACATTAAATGGCGAGGTCAACCGTCAGAATTGTAGATACTGGTCAAAAGAAGACCCCATCTGGATGCGAGAATATCATACACAATACCGCAAAAGGTAAACGTATTGGCTGGCATTGTAACAAATAGATTCATCGGACCCTACTTTTTCGAAAGTAATTTAAAGGGACCAGCATACCTTTAGTTTTTAAAAGGGTATCTCTTACCTACTTTAGTTAATTTATTCCCCAATGCAAACCTGCAAATATTAAAGACTTAAAAACAAGAATTCGTAAAGAAATTAACAATAATTCCCAAGAAACCATAAACAAGGTTCAACCAGAATTTTTACAGACCGAAGTTTCCAAGTAAAAGTAGATGATTTCATTTCTAAAACAAGAATACAGGAAAATGGAACCCCTCAAGAATCATCGATTAGTGTTACTCTTTTTCTTATTGTTATTAACAGTATTTTGGAAAGCGATTCTCCACCAGTAAAAATTAGGCTATACGCAGATGATCTCATAATTTATTGTAAAGGAAGAAACATAGAACTAATTAAACAAACCTTACAAGATACTATTTCTGCATTAGAAAAATGGTCAATGAAATCTGGAATTAAATTTTGTTCCAACAAAAGTAAATGTATCCATTTCACCAGAAAAAGCAATGTTAGTAGTCCAGAACTTACAATCTTTAATACAAAAATAGAATATGTTGATTGTATCAAATTCCTTGGAATTAATTTTGACAAACATTTAAATTTTAAGCAATATATTTATTATCTTAAAATATCTTGTCAACAATATTTCAACATAATGAAAGTCTTATCTACTAAAAATTGGGGATGTGATCAAGATATCTTATTTACAGTATATAAAAGCCTTATTAGATTTAAAGTCGATTACGGTTTAATAGTGTATGGGTCTACAGCCAATCACTTTTGAAAGAGTTGCAAACCATCCAAAATGCTGCTGTAAGAATAGCCTTAGGAGCTTTTTGTACCACACCTACAGATAGTTTATTATGTTTAGTAGGAGAAATGCCTCTGGGATTAAGAAGACAATATCTTAGCCTAGCATATGCTGTAAACGTTTCAGCAAATAGTGAAAATCCCGTCAGAAACAATGTCTTTGCTTCTCGTTTCCACACAACATATCTTAAAAAAAAAGATCTAAACCTCATTTTTATAAAAGACTCAATAGATACATGACCAGAAATAATATTGTCTTCCCTAAAATATATCGAACCACCCTTTTAACCCCTCCTCCTTGGATGGTCAGAAAACCTTTCCTAGACTTGAGTTTAACAAAGACTAGTAATCAACTTAATGCTTCCTCTATGGTTAAACAATTTTATAGTAAGATCGACGAGTACCAGAAATACCAACATATTTATACTGATGCCTCCAAATCAGAAAAAGGAGTGGAATGTGCCTTCATACACAACGACTACACTGCTTTATACAAAATCTCAAATTTTAGCACAGTATATGCAGGAGAACTATTCGCAATCTACAAAGCATTAGAATATGCACTGGACGCCAACTTAGACAGGTGCCTAATAATAACAGATTCCTTAAGTTCCATGAGTAGCTTAGGCACCATTTACCAACTCATCCATTGTTGCGATTGATAAAGAATCATTTGTACCAACTTCAGCTAAAGAATGCGATTGTAAAATTTATGTGGATTCCATCACATATAGGTATACAAGGTAATGCAAGAGTAGATGCTGCCGCCAAATCTTCAGTTAACAACGAAGACTTGATAGAATCTACCTATAAGAAAGATTTTCATCACTGAATTAACTCGACATTGAAATAACAGTGGCTTCAAGAATGGAATCAATCTCAACAAAAACTACGAGACATAAAAACAACTGTTACAAGATGGTAGAATGAGTGTAGCAAGAGGAAAGACCAAATTATAATAAACATATTGAGATTAGGACATACACGCTTAACACACGAATACCTTATTACTGGAAGTGTTCATCCAATGTGAGGTAAGTGTTTCAACAGTTTAAGTGTCAAACATTATTTAATCGAATGCCCGGCATATTTAAATGAGAGGCAAAAGTGTAACTTACCGACAACGCTACGTGAGTGTCTACGAGAAAAATGTGTATATTCGTCTGTTTTAAGTTTTCTAAAGTCAATTGGAATATACAACAAAATTTAACATCAGTTTCTGTACAAATAAATGTGTAATCTTCTATTAACCAATGTACTTCAACTCAGATTTATGTATGTAAAACTCTATCTATGTTATGTCTATGTCTATATTTAATCTATGTCTAAAAAAATGTAAAACAAAATTGTAATACCAAGCAACGCTAATAACCACTTAGGTTGATGCGCCTTAATTGTAAATAAAAAAAAAAAGAATTTTTACAACGTTTATGTTACTGTCAAATAAAACAAGGGCTACATTTCGAATAGATAAACTCATGTATTTTCAAGTTATTTAATATAATTTATTAATATTAGAAATCAATAAAAATTAATTTTCTAAGGGCATATCTTTAAAATTATATCCGTTAGACACACAGTATAATGTGTTATATTTAAAAAAAAAACCGCCGATAACGTTATCATCATCTAGAACATTAAACTTAAAAATCGACGTGTTTTAGATTGTTTTAAAAAGGCTTTTCATTTAGGAAATATCGAATGTATTCCATACTTTACGGATACACTGTATAATAATAAGTGGAAGATGTATAGTAAGTCAATTTGCTGCCGGAAGATCGGCTTATCGGTTTATGATTTTGGATCGGATGGTTTCAATAAAACTATACTTTTAGACATATATATATATATATATATTATATATATATATATATATATATATATATATATATATATATATTTGTCTTGTGGGCCAAAGAATACATCATAAGTAAAAAATTAGATCAAATCAAACAAAGTAGACAATAAAATATTGATATTAATAAAAATAAACGTTTAACTTACCTAAATACTTCGTGGTTATGTTGGTCAATAGCGTGTCCTTCAAGCAGATCACCATGGATATTAAGCTTCTGTCCAAAACATCAGCATCTCCTGAGAGATGGGCCCCCATTCCATCGCCACCAATACCAACTGCACCATCAACTCCAACTTTGTTTCCTAGAAGGTTAGCTTCGGCGTCAGCACTAATATTTATAATATTGCCCAGGCCAAGTTTTTTGGCGGTTGATGCCAGGATTCCTTGTTTCCCAAGGAGAGCACCATGGGAGACTCCTACGACGAGGACGAACGATATCTAAAATAAGTGATTGAAAAATTAGAGCATTCATTGATAACAGAATATTGCTATGTATTATATAGTCCTATAGTTAGTTTTTTAAAAACAAAGCTGTCGACAATAGAGCTAATAATAAGAGATTACGTTTACATGTTAACAACTTTACTCCAGTGGCCGATAGTACTGTTACTCTTGCTACAAAGAAATACACCATGTATCCACAGTAGACCACAATGATGAAAAATTGCAAAATTTTTGACAATCAACTAAAGACGTCTGAGGTAATTACGTTAATATACGATACATAACACTAAGTAACAAAAGATAACAAAGTTTTAACTATATTAAAACCTACTCAGGTTAATAGTATGAAAGCAATTTAAATAAAATACTACGAAAAGTTATAAGCGAACAAGGTATCACAAAACTTAAATGTAACGAAGTAAAAAAATAGTCACCACAACATTAAATAGAACATTTAAAGAAATCGATAATACAATGAAAGGTACATAAGAGAAGGTTGAATTACTTAAAAGCGATAAAGTACATAAAAGATAGTTTTATAAAGAAAAAAGAACGTAAAAATGCGATATAATGACAAAAAAGTTCTGCAGTTAATAAAAGAATAAAGGAAAAGAAGTATAATTCTATATATAAAACATTACAATAAGAAAAAACAGAAAAAATCAGAGAAGCCACACATAATGAATTGCAGAAAAAAATACCAAGAAATCTAAATTCTATAAAGTAAATACTTATGATTATTTCAACGTACATAAGAGGTTAAAAGAAATAACAGGCAAATGTTTACACAGTAAGTAAAACTTGTTAATAACAATGGAAAGGTAATCGTGAGCAAACGGTAGTACTGATAATACATATTGAAAAATTATGTACAAAATTTATTTTTTAATGAAAGGAAGACCTAGTCCCCAATTCCTAAGGAATCCGGATCAACTATACTAGTAGTAGAAATAGGAGCCGCCATAATATCCCTAAAGAAAGGAAAGCTCTAGGACTAGAAAGAGTTCAGTCTGAACATAACATAATCGGCGAAGGTCATTTAGTTTCTACGGAGCGTTATTCAAGTATGTTCACGTTCGTTTCTATTATTTGAAATATACCTATTCAGAGGAAATATTTAGTGAAGCCTTGCAAAATTGTAGACATAAAATACTTCTGTGTGAAAGATTAGTGTTGAAATAAACGTATCAAAAACTAAACTGTAAGTGCAAATAAAAAGTATACAAGTGTATTAAGTGAAACAATTTATCTTCCTTGGAATAACAGTAAACGAACACTGGGATCACTTACAGGAGATATGAGATAGTATAGAAAAGACTTGTAATTTATTTAACAGCATGACCAAACTCTTTAAAAATCACAACTTTAATTTGGACATCAAATTAAGGCTCTTACGATGTAATATTTTAGCAATACTATGCTATAGAGTTTAATTCTGGACACTCCCTATAGCGATGGCGAGTAGTAGTACACGTTATGATACCTCGCTTAGGGTTTCGCTTCTTCAAGGTGGGGCTGCTTCTTTTTTTTTTGTGCAACAGTATGAAGTGATAAGAAAGCATAAAAATGGCAAGTGACAGAATTATTATCAGATGAATCTAAAGAATTGATGTTGGGTTTGATATAAGTTGGGGTTGTTTAGCCTTTCCAACCAAGTTCAGTCAGTCAGGCCATGGAGTTGGGATGTTTACATTGTAAAAAATAATATACACTTTATCCTCCATGTGGGACAAACCATACAGTTTGTAGGCAACATTCTGAAGTCTAACGAAAACACAAAGTGTATTAATACTCATACGCTTATGAAACGTACCAGGTGGATTATAAGGGCCTTCACATTTTACTCTTTACCAGCCTTCTTAAGTAAAGATGTCTTTAATCTTTCCGACTCTAAATGGCTATTATGTTTCCGAGGATAGACGGATCATTACATTTTCCTCTAATACACACTCTATTAAGGCAATGAGAAACAACTTGAGCTAAACTTTCTTAAGAAAGGTTAATTAAAAAAAGGTAAAAAATATATGTAAAAAATAATTTAGTAGAATACTAGGGAAAATTTTGCAAGAAAAGATCATTAAGTGATTAATTTTTTATGCTATAACAAATCGTGATCAATTGCTATAAATACAACATTTCATAACAAGTACTTTTTATAAATAGATAAGCTAAAAAATTAAGTGCCATAGAAAATAGTAAGATTGTTGACACTAACAATAAGATAAACAATTTGTGCTATGAAATGCAACGGCACAGTCTCAGAAGAATTCAAACTAAACAAAAGTTGTACGTTAAGGAGAACTGTTTTTTACCTTGCTATTTAATATGGATCTAGAAAAAATTGTAAGTGTTAGTGAGATAAATAGGTTCGGCACTATTTTTGTACAAAGAGTATCGAAATAAAACATTAGTGATAAGTATAGCAAAAATACTGATTTAGAAAAGCTCCCAAATTCACTAAAAGTTAATATTAATAAAATCAAGTACATCGAAAATCTTGAGTAAAAAGGAAAAATACAGCAGGGGCTCTCTTAAATTAGCGGTAGAGGATGGACCAGTTTTAGAATTCCAGAAGGTGGATGGCTATATGTACTTAGGTATTCTCATTGATCTCATAAACATGTTAGAAAGAAACTGAAATTAACCTGAATTTGACTAAAAGAAACATGTGCTGGTGTCGCAAACAAAATAATTAAGGACAAAGATATATCTCGTAATCCAAAAATAAGAGTATAAAAACTAGTAGAATGGAGAGAATATAGTGTACCAGTTGTATGCTTACCCTACAATAACAAAAGTACTGAAAACGTAGACAAGAATGACTCGAAAATCTAGAACGAATCGAAGGTATTACACAAGTCAAGAAGATATCAGAGAAATGGGAATTATATATCGAAAGGTGACAGCTAGGAAAGTGATGGAAATTACCTATCCAGCGATGGACCCAAAAGACCTGTTAACGCTACATACATACATACTTTAGTTCTAGCTTATTGCAGAGAAGACCTTTAAAATCTAATAAACAAAATAAAAACACTCTAATTCAAGTAGAAAATGAGAAAAAAATACACCCGTACAAACTGAAATTAAGTAAAATGGTAAATGGTGCTAATAAAGTAGTAGATATGGAAACAATCTCACAAAATAGAAAAGGCAGCAATAGAATATTGTTTTCTAGAAATTGATGCAGAATATAAAGATTAACCAAGAAAAAACCAAGCAGAAATACGAATGTTATAACAAGAAATATAATAAATTAAAGTTGAGTAAAGAAAAACAAAAAAACTAATTATTAGAGCAAAAGAGCCATATACAAAGAATAATATATATATATTATATATATATATATATATATATATATATATATATATATATATATATATATATATTATTAAAGTAACAATTTACACATAAAATATTGAAAATGTAATGTAATTAAAATCCTAATGCTGTTAAAACCGTGAAAGATCAGACGTTGGCCTCAGATCACAATCCAATTATCGCCAAGATTACATCACCCTTAAAAATAATAAAAGACAATAGAGAATCCATATAATAGACACAAGAAAACTTAAATAACTTAAGGTAAAAGAATGCCTCCAATATGAACTGCATGTAAACTGCAGCAAATTGAACACAATCTCCAATGATAATTGACAAGTACTGGAGATCAGGAAAATGACAAAGCAGGCGAAAGAAAAATACCTTGAAGAGAAATGCAAGAGAGATCGAAGACCTTCAAAATAAATATGATCTGTTTAAACTACACAAGAAAGGTTAAAGATCTGGCAGGACTAAAAAAAATAAAATCCCACTCGTGCAATTCTGGATAGGAACGGGACTACTATAATCACATACGGACGAGAATAGTACAAAGATGGGCAGAATATATCGACGAATTGTTTGACGATGAAAGAGGAGATCTGGAGCACATAGAACTTACGTCAGACAAAATATGATCCATATATTATAACAGAAGAAATATTATACGCAATAAAAACAATGAAGAGTAGGAAAAGCCCTGGACCTGACATGCTTCCTATAGAAATCTTATATAGAAAGCTTAATGAGAAGCACATTGATGTTTTTGTGACACTCTTGAACCAAATTTATAGTTCAGCGATATTACCCAAGAGTGGTTAACATCGATTTTTAATTGTCTCCCTAAAAAAAAAAACGCAACAGAATGCAGCGATTACCACACCATTAGCTTGATCCATTACCGAATATATCACAAACTGGACATAGAGACGTTAATGATTCATAACTTGGTTTCGCAAAGGCCCAGAAACGCGTGAAGCTCTTTTTTTATTTAATATACTGATATAAAAATGCCTAAAACACCAATCAAGATGTATAAGTATGTTTTATTGACTATAATAAAGCATTCCATAAAGTACGACATAAAGAATTAACGAATGTCCTGAAATCAAAGAAGATTAACTACAACGACCTCAGGATCATATCAAATTTTATACTATAAACAGCAAGCACAAGTACGTGTTAACAAACAGCTGTCAGAAGAAATCGAAATTAGTTGTGGAGTGAGACAGGAATGCGTATTGTCGCCAATTCTTTTTAATGCCTACTCCAAAGAGATCCTGACAAACGCTTTTGAGGGTAAAATAGCTACAATAAAGGTAAATGGAGTTCCAGAACAAGTGTAGAGAATTACCAGACAAAGAGAAGAGAAGAAAAGAAAATACACAGAATGAAGAAACGAAACCACTTAAAAAGGAACTTCAATATATAGAAAACCTCAACAGAGAGAAAGAATTCAGAACATTCTATAAGAAAGTTAACATCAACAGAAAAGAATTCAAGGCAAACACAAATCAATGTAGAAGTTTGAATGGCGATCTATTAACAACAAGAACAGACGTACTAAATCGATGGACGGAATATTTTAACCAGATACTTAATATAGAGGAAGAAGAAGAAAACCCGGAAGACGAAAGCTGTGAGGTAAGCGGAGCAGACGAGAGGGAGGAGAA